GGTACCGTTGCAGCGTTCAATTTGTTGAACGCGTGCACTATCCGCCACCCTCCTGTTGCTTTTCGCACACAGAAGGTCGGAGAGCTATGTGGGGAAGTTGATTCCCTCACATGGCCCGCTGCTAAACGATCGGCAAAAGACTTGTCGATCGCAAGTACTTGTTCACGAGGCAGTGGCCACTGCTTCATGACACAGTACTTCGAGCCTGGTTTAAGCTCGACTTCGTGTCGAATACCTTTATCCTTCGGTAATTCGCACGGAACAGTTTCAGGCAATACATCCTTGAATTCAACCAAATCTTCATAGAGAGGATTTTCCTTGATCGATTCCCATGATTGGGACTCATATCGCTCAATTCGTGTCTTTTCATCGAGGACACTCTCGTCCATAGATGAACTACTGAGAACTCTCTCGTTCTCAGTAAACACTGTTGCTGACCTTATGTCGGTTACACACTCGTCGTCAGCGACGAGTATGCAGATCTGCTTGACTTTGCCACTACGCAGATCACGCAAGAACCTTTTATGTTCGAGCGTTGGCAACTGAGTGATCTCCGAAGTTAACTTCGGAGGCGCAATCAGATCAAGTGTATAAGCGCCTACACTTGATCCGTTATTGACTATGACATTCAATGTCTCTGTCATTTCCTGGGGACTTATTCCCTCAGGCTTCGAAGGACTTATTCCTTCGTCTTCCCGGGGACTTATTCTCGCGGGTTTCGGGGAACTTATTTCCGCCGTATCTGTAATCTTGGGACTTATTCCCTTTACTTTCTCTAGCTGGGTTTGCGCAACCACAGCGAGATCCTCTACGAAAGACTCTCCAGTCGATCTAGGATTATCGTTTCGCTTAACCTGAGCGATCGATTGTTTATCTTCTAGATGTTCCCCTCTAGGGATACATCTTTGTCCCAGTCCACCCGACTTATTCGAGTGGTGGACCTTCGGCGCAGCCTGTGTTTCCTCACAGCCGCCGGAACTTTGCTCCGAAGTGTAACCGTTTGGTACACTAAGGTTTTGTGCAGTAGTACTAACGACCGTACCACAAGTGAGGCCATCGCACTCACTCGTAGTACATCCACACGCTTGTGGACGCTCTAAAACGTTCATCAGATGGCCATCTGATGAACAAGCGGCAGGCATCGTTACTGTTCGATGTTGCCAGTTTACCCGTGGTTCGTACCTTCTGAGCCACGGTATTCCAAGGATGACATCAAATTTGTCATCCAAATCCAATACGATAAAGTCATCGTCATATTGGGCATCTTCTAGCGTATAGTGGATCTTCACTATACGCTTCATGACGGTTACGGATGCGCCTGTCGCAAGACGTACCGTCATCCTCGTAGGAGGTGTGTCACATTCACTGAACTTAAAGTGACCATCTTCTAGCGATTGGCGTCGCACAAAATTGTTGGACGCCCCACAATCGACTAGAGCTAGAAGGGACACCTCATTCGTCACTTCGAGTTTCAAGGTAATGAGTGGGATCTCATTACCTGGAGCAGCAACGCACAACATCTGTGTGTTGGGAGCAACCTTCATCAAGAGGCCTACAAATTCTCTTGACGTTGCTGGACCAGTAGGGTGCTCCGCACCTACTGATCCTGTCCGTTTTTGACGGTCCATCCCGTTGTTGCGTCTTTGCAACTGCGGACCCTCGTCCCTGCCCCTTTCTCATGGGTGGACGGTCACTACGCCCAGTGTCGCGAGACACTGGACGAGGGGCACTACACTCGTAAGCGTAGTGTCCTGTCTTTTGACATCTGTTGCATCTCTGCAACTTCTTGTAGCCTGTAGAGCGAACCTTCTCGCTCTCTACATAACAGAGTTCCATCGGCTCTGGACCTCCGTTGTCATATCGTCTCGGTTGACGATATGATGTCGAGCTGGCGCGAGCCTGTCTCAGACTGAAGTCTTCCTGCTCCGCAATGGAAATGGCTTGTTATAGTGAATCTAGTTCAAGCCGGAACAGGTGAGTCTTGACGGGACCATCCGCAAGACCCTGCATGAACACCGAAACCAACGTGTGTTCATCCACCGGGTTGGAACTTATACAACTCGTAAGATGTCGTATGTGTTGAGCGTAAGCGTGCACATCACGCTTACCCTGCTTGAGCTTCAAGAGTTCGGTTCGAGCCCTGAACTCAGCTCTAGGTGGTTCAAACGTTTGTCTGAGCCGCGACTTGAAGACTTCCAACGACCCAAGCGCATATGGGTCGTGCAGCTTGAGCCCCAGTGCCCAAGTCTTGGCACGTCCTGCCAGATTTGACTGGGCAAATGCAACTTGCATATCCCCGTCGTCGATGCGACGCGCCCTTATGGCGTCATCCAATTCGACGAACCATCTCAAGAGGGAGTCTTCTTCGACCCCCCTATACTTTGAGATGTCAATCTTCAAAGTCTCGGATCGACGCGAGTGCATCGACCCGCCAGCAGCAGCCTGCTGCTGTCTCAACAGTTCAAACTGTTGAGCACCTTGTTCTCTCAACAACTCTGCTTGTTGAGAACCTTGTTGGTGAAGCAAGGCTACTTTCTCGCGTTCAGCGTCAAGTTCATTTTGAATGAACTTGGCGATAGTAGCATGTTGGGAATCTCTATTGAGAGCCTCTAGCATGACGCTAACAGCATGGATGCCCATGGTCGAACCCATTCGTTCAACCGCATCCCATTCGACATCGCTCAAATGGGAGTAGCCGTCACGCGTAGCGTGAAAGCTTTGGTCATCTTCATCACCCAACATATTCATGTTGGATGTGAACGCGGTCCTTGGACGGACTACAAAGTGCTACCAGGTGTAACGGGGCACCCTGAAGCTTGTACTGGTGACAGTACAAGCTACTTATTCTGATAACAGAATAAGGCGGTGTCTCGTAACTTCACGTACACTCGTACGTGCAGAGGAAGACGGTAAGAAGAAGCGAGTACTTGGTTAAAGTAAAAAGTAGAACTGTATTTAGTATAGTTAATGTCTGCAATAAATCACTATTTATCTTCATCTAACTATGTCTGAATACAAATGTGTAAATCAGTTATCTGCTCACCACTCATTGCGTGCGTCTGTCGTGGCGCGTCTTCGTTGGTTGATATAATGGCCTATATCAACCAATTAGGAAGTACTCGTACGTGCTACAGAATATTTGTCCTTATGACAATATTCTGAGAACATAACTCTTATAGTTATATTCTATTAACAATTTCTTATAAATTGTTATGTAACGATTCACCCCGTTACATTGGCAGTCTGAACGATTGATCAGATGAGGGCGAGTCGAAAAATGAGCAGAACCAACCGTCTTTCGTGCTTTAATATTTCCGATTGTAAGGACCGTAATCTCCTCGAGTATGTAGGTTCATCTCTTACAGGAATTTTGCATAGAGGCGTTATAGCCACTGGTTCTTGTTGACTTGGCTATACTATGGAATCAGTTTGGGGACCCTGTCGCCACTCATTTTTTTCATTGGTTTACTATGCGATCATAGTGAAGGTTTCTGTGGCCAAGCCATTATCATTTTATTGGCTATAATAAATCAGATAAGGGGCTTTACAGCCACCGATTTTTAAATTACAAAGCTATCACATGGAGTCGGTGTAAGTGCCGTACAGTCACATTTTTTAATAGAACTTTACTAAAAATTGTTTTCGCATCTCTGTGGCCAGCATTTTCGTTTGATTGGCAGTACCAAGAATCGGATTAAGAGTTTTGAAGCCACTGGTTTTGAATTGCTCAGTTATATGATGGAGTCGGTGCGAGTGCCCTGTAGCCACATAGTTTTGGTATCTAAGCTTTACTGTGAGTTTAGAGAGAGGGATTTTCAAGCCAACGATTTTAGATTACTAAGCTATGCTATCGAGTCGGCATGAGTGCCCTTCAGTCGCCTATTTTTATGAAGCTTACTATGAAGTTACTTTGAGGCCTCTGTGGTCAGCGACGATCGTTTCATCGGTTATCAAAGGAATCACACTAAGGATTTCTAGCCAACTGATTTCAGATTACTTAGGTACACGAACGAGCTCGTTTGGGTGCCATGTCACTACAATAAATTAAACGAATCATCAAATAATTAATTTCCGAAAGCTTTGTGGCCGCTGATTATAGTGCTTTTAATTACACTCCATAAATAAACTCGGGGTGCTGTAAATACTCACTATTATGGAGCTGAACAATATAGTCGGTATCAGGCTTTTTCGCCACCGACTTTGCTACGTAGCCTATACAACAAAACTAGTTTTAGGTAATTGTAGCCATGACGTTTATACCAACTCGGTCCTACAGTCCTCCCTTCGCTAACATTTAAGTCTCGGTAGACACACTTTCCCATAAGTTATCACTGGCTCGAATTCTGGTGGCGTTTTTCAATACCTCGGCATTGTCAATAATTGAAGGATTAAACGTGAAAGCTCCATTAGAACAACCCACTCCACTTCCACCTCCGAATTCAAATTGCCCAAAACCTGCAGAATTATAGCCATAAGACCACCAATACATGTCCGCACCTTTCATCTATAACAAAATCTGCTTCAGGTTGTGCATTAACATCTGAGACATGTAGACATCCCGGTCGTTCGCTGGGGTTGGTCTTTGTTGTTGTGAGGAACAAACCGTAGTTTCATTGGCTATTTTCCATCAATGGGAATTTAAACTCTATCGAAGAAGAAGACAGAGCTAACACAGAGCTGAAGAGATCCTTGAAGCCGTACAGAAGTAGAAGCAAGAAAAAGAAGTTTTTTTAGCGGAGAAAGAGTCGTTTGACAGAGACAGAGTCAGTTCCAGACCTTTCGCCAAGTCTAAAAAGATCACCATCTTAGGTAGTGCCTGTACGTTAAATTATATGTCCCAGGCAACCAACCCACCGTGCTGCCTACAAACTACCCCACAGCCTTCAGACTGGCACTTTGCTGTGCCAACATCACCCGAAATACCGTCGAAGCTGGGCTTGAATTTGTAACCCACCCCCACATTAGATGCAAATTGTCCCTCTATACACCGATATCTATCTCTATGAATACATCGGTACGGAGTGAGGTGGTCTTGGTTTGACGAGACTGTTGTCCAGGAGTGCCACGTCCAGCTTGAGGGACGCATCCATCGTGTCCATTGAGACAAGACTTTTGCAGCAGCCCTGACTCGCCAAGTCTCTCGCTTCATGAGGAGCTGCTGTATGAATGGAAGGAGCTCGGAACTGACGCAAGGGCATCGGTGCTGAAAAAACTTATGAGTTCGATCTCGGCGATGGGACTACTGATATGTGAGACGTCAGACTTTCAAGGCATCGGTCAGTCAAGTAGCACCAACCAGCAGGAAGATTACAAAGCTGCGACTAATGGTCAGATGAGCTCTTTGTAAAAGTTGAATGCTTGAAGCTCAACAAATGAAGGTGGTGGTGGTTTTGGTGGTGGTGGTGGTGGTGACTACCAGATGTTCTGGTTCTATTGTACCGAAAAAAGAGCTGGAAGAGAGCTAAGCTGTACAACGTGCCGCTTGTAGTGGTCGCGATATCGAGAGATCACATCAGTCCAGCAAGCAGGTTCGAATCGACGCTGAAAGAGACTAAAGTGGTCGAAACGTGCAGCGTCTTCAAGCACTGTTCTACCGATTAGGCGAACGTTCCTGCTTGTTTCCCGCAATGTGCGTGGTGAATGCTGACCGGCGGGCAATGGTCGTGGTGGTAACGAGACGGTGGTGATTGAATGATTGATTGATTATTAGACTATCTTCGGTGCATGTGTTTACCGGCGGTTGTCCCGCAATCGATTCAAGTTGAAGCTGGTATAGTTTCGTGCTGTCATAGCTGTCGAGAAAGCACAGTGGCGACCCCGGCTCTTCAGGTAGGGAAGGTCGTCCTTGACACCTTTGTGTTGTCGTCAGTTGTAGGATATTCGATGGTAGTCGCTACTGCGTATGCAATCTTTTGGATGATGCTACCCCTGCTGGCGAATCTACCTCATTCGTCGAAGGGATTTTACCTGGTCAATTTCAGCCGAGCTGCTAGTGCGACAGTTTCGACTGCTTGGCACAATCGTTTATGGTCTCATCCTATAACAAGCAAGTCAGCATTGTAACGGTACGAAGGTTTGTTCCGAGAAGCATTTTTCGATTACGCCTGACGGCCAGGGGATGTTTTCTTTAGCGTGTCTGTCCAGCCAGATGCATTCGCGTTCGGTGGCTACTCAGTCCAACTTATTCAGTTACAGTGCGATATTTTACAGGCTAACTCTATCATGTTCAATTCCAGTGGTCGATTGCTGTAACTGCCATGTCAGCATTAATAAGAGTGCTCAATCTCCACCAACCATTATCAAGTATGCTACATCGTAGTGTCGCACGTCTCGCCTGCGGACTGCGCTCTACGTCGTTGGCCCTCGCACATCCATCGGCACCCAAGCGCTTTGTTCCCACAACGACCCGCTTTCAGTCTCATATCTCGGGCTCCGCATCGCTATTGCTTCAAAAATGGAGATTTGTGGCCGCTACTGCAGTAAGCACGAGTGCTTCGTATGCTTTTTGCTCGACTGCTGCTTCAGTTACGGATACGATCAAAACGAATAGAGCAGTGTTAAAGGTGGTGCTCTATCAGTACGAACCGTGTCCCTATTGCTGCAAGGTGAAGGCTGTACTGGACTACCTCAAGCTCCCGTACGACGTGGTGGAAGTCAATCCACTGACCAAGAAGGAGACCAAAGCTGTGACCAAGTATGCCAAGGTGCCAGTTGTCACTATTGGCAATGACGTGGTCGTGGACTCTTCGGCAATTATCATGCGACTGTGGGACCTGGTCGTGCCAGCTAAAAGCTCCCAGCTTGAGCATAAAGAGCCGCAGGAGGAGGAAGCCCAGTGGTGCCAATGGGTCGACCAGAAGCTCATTGTCTTGACCCCTCCCAATATCTATCGCACGCTGCCGGAGGCGCTGCAGGCTTTCGACTATTGCTTGGCCGCTGGCAACTTCACGTCCATGGAACGTCACTTGTCCAAGTACGTCGGGGCAATGGTGATGTACCTCATTGCCAAGCGGTCGAAGAAGAAATACGGTATTGACGATGAGCGACTGGCGCTGTATGCGGCTCTGAATAGCTGGGTTGATGCGGTTGGTGACAAGCGCATGTTTCTTGGAGGGCATGAACCAAACAAAGCAGACCTCTCGGTCTTTGGTGTCCTTCGTGCGATGCACGGCCTGGACACGTACAACGACGTGATGCGTGAGACGGAGATCGGGCCGTGGTTTCGATGTATGACGGATAGGGTTGGCTCCAGCTCACGCACTGCAAGCAAGCAACTAGAGATCACGGTCAAGGAGTATAGAACTTGATAGCAGATAGAGCCAACGAGCAGTTAGGATGCTATTCATATAGACAACTCACGCGCAAGTCTTGCTGCAAAGGTTGCTCCGTCTATTCAGCAAAGACATCAGTCTTGGTCTTTGTCTTTTGAAGGCGGTGGTAGGCGATGCCCGTACCAGAGATATTGTCGCCCAGTCCAGTAGTGTAGTCAGGCTTTTTACAAGCTAGCATTGGCACCAGGTGACATTGAAAGTCAGCTTCTTGCCCTGTAATGACTGGCGACAATGGATCCAGGTCGACCTTGTGATCCTGACGTTCGCTCAATAGCTGCTCACGAGCCAGCAGCGTCTCAACCCGTTCCGGGTCCACTTCCATTTCAGCACTAGTTCGCATCGACTGGATCTTGTTCTCGTCATCAGAAGCACTGCCACTCCTTAGGACCGGCAGCTTGTTACACGCCACCTTCTAACGAATCAGTACGCCCTGCACCAATGCTGAAGTCGGGTCTTCCCAGATACCCTTCTTCCTCTGGCATACAACATGAAACTGCAGCGTATGGAAATGAATCCGTGACAAATGCGCTAACGCCACCGTCACCTCGTGCTTTCCATCGTCCTCCTTCCCCCGTCTGCTTGTCTCAACCGTCTCTCTCGCATCCTTTGCAAACTGAATAATGTCGTGCAACTGTGCACTAATCTCAGCAATCGTCGGTCGAGACGCTGTCGCAGTGCTTTCTTTCCCCGTCACTAAAAAGTGGTGCAGAATAAACAGCTCCTGCTCGTTCAGACCGATAGAATCCACCCATGGCAGCACCAAGCGCACCGTGTCGGAAAACAGCCCAAAGTCCGACACCGCAGCAAACTCATAGTGCGTGGGTGTGTCAACTGCATACGAATTCTGCAACACCCCGGCCAGTGCTTCGAGACGCAGGACCCGTGCACGTACATCTTGCTCAACTTCCGCGAGCTGCAAGCCGCCAAAGACGACCAAGTCCGGCTCGAACGTCTCGAGCGTTTGCTCGAAATCTTCAAGCACCGACGGCCGCGCATTATGCACGTCATAGTTTATAAAAAGCGATTCGCCCGTGGTGACACATGGCCTCGAAAGGCGTCACCACGTCCGTACTCGAGCACCAAGTGCACGTCCTCTTTCTCCTCTCCTTCAATGGCCCCTACAAGCTGGATCGTCGGGTCGTCAAAGTACTGCTTCAAATGGACGCCTACAGCCGCGCCCAAGAGCACAGTGCACCCTTCAGCCTACGCTCGAGCAGCCATGGTCGTGGCATTGCCGCCCACTTTCCGCTGGACGTCTGGCAGGGCATTAGCTAGTGCTACAATCTCGTGGAACGCAGCGGACGAGTTCATCCTCTGCTCAGCAGCAGCTCCTGAGGAAAAGTAGTAGACGAAACTCTCTTGAAGCTCCTGGAGCGAGTCAATGCGCTCGTGATAACGCACCGATAAGACCAGAGACGTGGTCGTGTGCTGCGTCTGGTGCCTGACGTCCGTACTTAGAAGTGGCTGGCGGCGATGCTTCAACGCGAAAGTACTGATTTTCCTTCCTTTTCTTTCTCAACAAACTACACGAGCGGATCATTCGGCCTTTATCAAGTCCGTTGGCTATCCCTGTTTGATCCACGCCATTGTCACTTTTGCTTGTTCAATCTTCCGCTGACAAGATGAAGCTCGTCGTCCCTCATCTATCATCGATCCTCCTCACGTCAACATTCTGCATGGTCGCCTCGAGCACGATCACCGCAACAAAGCGAGAGAGTACTGCGTCGGCACCATTCACGCGTGCCAAGCTGCTGCAAGCGAGACCGAGTGGTACAATGCCACGGCAGTGAAATTCCAAGCAGGGTGCGACGCCGAATTCAAGTGTATCGACGACTTGTGTCGAGTCGATGCAGATCCGATCGACCACCGAGAGTGCCATATCATCTGTTCTGCCGGCAAGTTCTGTGAAGACGGGACGACGACATGTCGCGGACCACGCTACAAGGGCGAGTGTTTCGATCTCGGGACTGGCTCTTTTCAAAAGGGCTGCGACGAGGGATTCTTTTGCTCGTTCAATAAGTGTGTCGATGTTAGTCTCGATGGTTAGGAAAAACGTAACGGTTGATAAGCAAACGTTCGAGAGTTCGATCAGGTCAAGCCCATACTTCCGAACGAACGAAAAAGACCTAAAACTTTAATGCGAAACCCCTTTTGTCTCCATTCACTCACTCTCTTGTGCAAGCAGGCGAACTGCCTCGGGTGTACACAGGTTCCGTCTCATCGATCGGCTTGACTCCACACTGGATTCCAAAGTAGCTGGCCATGGCATGTGTATGCCAGGATCAACATGACGTTTGGAGCTACTGACTGCAATTGTAAATGCCCACAGAGTGCCTGTCTCGAGATAAACCTATTGGAACAGAAAAACCAGCGGCCTCGTTTGTGCCGTGATATCCCGCAGCCGGAACCTGAGACCGTGGCTTCCTTGACGAAGCATCGGTACATGTACTGGGTAAGCGCTACCGAACCACGAGTTGGTCGATCCATCATGACCATGAGTGGTGTACGTCTCCGGCTCCTCAACGTGGCTGGTAACGAGAACGGGCTCACCAATCATACCACAGCTCTCTGCTTGTTCAATCAGAACGCGTCACGAAAAGCTTGGATATACAGAGCGAGCAAGATGTTGATGCCGAGATGAAATAGACTGTCACGTTCGTGTTAATGCGTCGGATACGCATTGTTGTCGTGAACAAATCGACTTGATCGAGGTCACCGCTGCACGCGAAAGACGACGTTTCATTCATAATTGTATCCGACCTCTTAATCGTCCCACGTTATCAGTAAACCTGACGATATTCAGACGTGCACGTCCTACAGTGTGTCCTCATTGCCATTGTTCAGGATGTACGCGCAGCAACAATCGGATCGAAACGAGTCACTGTTTTAACGAACATAGTTTAAGAATCCGCACGTCATTCTCGCATACTGTTTAGATAAACAAATCATCGCCCGAAGCGAAGGGGGAAATAAATCGACCAGCCTTTTATAATCCCAGAAACACACATGCTAGGTGGTCCATGTTACCGTTCAGCAAAAGACTAGCACAAGGAACGTTGTCGCCCTCTGCTGAGTCATCACAACATCGTTTCCAGGAAACAAACGTGCCACTTGCTGCGGTGAGCCGGATGGAACTACACACTGCCTCAGCGCCTTGTCAACGCAGCTTACTCGGAAAAAGCTGAATATTCATTTCTTGAAACCACCCGCGGGCAGTTCCTTGTTGTCCGGTGCTCTTTCCAAAACAGCTTTTGTGACAAAGCGGAGCACGCGCCGCACATAGTGGTGCCTTCGACAGCACAGTAAAAGATGACGTTTCAGTCTCGCTGTTCATCCCATTTCTTCTCTCGCCATCGTCGTCATGTCTGGTTCACAATTGTACAAACACATTGCGTGCACGCCACCCGAACAAAGCGAATCGCTGTAAAGGCTGCAGATCTAGAATTATTGAGAAGAGAAAAACACCAGGCAGAGCTCCTTGTAATTACTTGAATGTGTCACATCCTGCAACAGGATTGTAAAATGTGGCTGTGCGCCTCGACTCAACCAGTCTCCAACTGCAGAAATGTGTCATGTAACGGGGCACCCTGAAGCTTGTACTGGTGACAGTACAAGCTACTTATTCTGATAACAGAATAAGGCGGTGCCTCGTAACTTCACGTACACTCGTACGTGCAGAGGAAGACGGTAAGAAGAAGCGAGTACTTGGTTAAAGTAAAAAGTAGAACTGTATTTATAATAGTTAATGTCTGCAATAAATCACTATTTATCTTCATCTAACTATGTCTAAATACAAATGTGTAAATCAGTTATCTGCTCACCACTCATTGCGTGCGTCTGTCGTGGCGCGTCTTCGTTGGTTGATATAATGGCCTATATCAACCAATTAGGAAGTACTCGTAAGTGCTACAGAATATTTGTCCTTATGACAATATTCTGAGAACATAACTCTTATAGTTATATTCTATTAACAATTTCTTATAAATTGTTATGTAACGATTTACCCCGTTACATCACCCCCCTAACCATCAGTCACTTTAGTGACTGATTGACTAAATGGATACTCGTCCCAAATCATTTGGGACAGGGTTTGCACTTGTTGGTCCGCGTCCACTTTCCAACATTTCATCGCATGGTTAACAAGCCCATGCGGTGCGCGAGCAAGGCCGCCGAGAGCGCGTCTGCACGTCTCTGTGCGGACGCCGAAGCAGAAACAACAGCAACTGATGTCCCATCGGTTGCTGAAGCGACCCAGCCTGTGTCACTTGGTGACGCAGGCGCTCGTCATGAAGACACTCGTGTCTTCACAGAGTACGAGCTCGGTGTCTCGTACTCTCCTGATACGGATGACGGATCCGTATCGGCGGCGATTGAATCTAAGCCGCCTGCCAAGCGTGGCATGGACGATGCTTTGCGTCGCAGCATCTTTCTTCATCTGATGAATCAGATGAACCATCGCCGAAGCGAAGGCGCTCGAGATCGCAAGTCTCGGGCGCTATTAGTGGTGTCGGTTCTCCAATGGACACCACTTCACAGCGAGGTGCCAGTACTTCTGTCGGCACGTCGCAGGAAGAGCGGGACCGCAATGTGTTGCGTCTCGCTCCAGAAAAGAAGGCATGGATGCCTCCAAAATCAGTCATGGATCACTTGTCGGCGACGACGAGTGATCGTTATCGAACACGATTGTTCGATTCGTCAAGGATCCATCACCTTGACCCCAGCGCGAAAGACTATCGCGCTGAACATGAGTTCTTCATCGATGCTTTCTTCAGACATCGATGGTACAGTGGGAATCACAAACGTGATGGTCCCTCACTACTTCAGGCGTGGAACGCCTACATCCATAACCTCGAGGATGTAGGTCGTGACGCTTGGAACGACAAACTTATCAAAGCTCGTGATAAGTTTGAAAAGCGAACCCCGACAGGTGCACGCTACAAGCTGCATCGTCTGTCAAGGGAGAAAGGATTACCCTGCCTCTCTTGGGGAGACTCGTGCCCATGTTGTGTGAACAACTCTGCACGAGCACCTAAGGAGGCTTACCTCCTTACCAGCCCGTGGTGGCGCGTACGTGTCTCTACTGAGATGTACGAAGGGATTGACAACCTGAAATCCCTTTACGACCGTGCCGGGAAGACTTTCTCCGGCGGTCCTTCTGCGGCACATGATGTGCCGCGTCGTACTGCTCGACCAGACCCAGTACGTCAACCATCAGTTGGGAGCGGGGCTCCCAAGAATCCCAGGACGGGGGATAGCCGCGCCACCGGACTAAATAACTCGTCCGACGTCCGTCTGCGTCGCGGTGGTTCGACAGATGCTCAACTAGATAGCGCTGGCCACCGCGAGAGTCCTCTAATGTAGGTGGAGGAGGAGGAAAGACGCTCTCCACACGATCATGTTGATCGGTGTGTTCCCGAGAGTTTCTTTGATCGCGTAACGCAAGGGTTACGCGACGATCTCGAGCATGAGCGGAATAGGCGTCTCCAAATGGCGGACACTGCCTCGAAGCATCGAGCTGAGTTTGCCTTTGCTCAGCTTGAGAACGAGAGATCTCTGACATCTCTTCGTGACGAGCTAAGGGTAGCTCGTGGGATTGTTGATCGGTCTCGGGCTGAGATAACTGCTCTTCAGACCCTTGTTGATGCCCACCATCGGGAGCACAAGGCTCTCTGCGAGATGCTTGAGCGCAAGGGCGTTCTTCATCGGAAGAAGCAGCGTACTGATGGTACGGCTTAAGCCGACCAACGTAAAACGTGGGATGCGTTCGCATCTTACGTGGTAACTCGATCGTGTATGCATTGCCTAGGCGGTGCAATACACGAAAAGGGCCAATGTACTTGGGTAGTAGTAAAATGCTACCCAAGTTAGTCACTACATGCTTTGGTAGATTAACCGTAGACAGTAGGACTAAGTCACCTTTGTTAAATAAAAGAGTGTTTGCCCTTCCATTCTTGTCAGCGTTTTGCTTTTGCTTGTCCACCGCTTCGGCGATGGAGTCTTGCACAAAACGGACTACCGTTTCACGAGCCAGTATGAACTCATTCGATGACTCGTTAGCTTCAGTGTGCTGTGAGCGCACTGCAGCAACAACAACCTTTTCTTCAGTGAGGGCTTCCGCACTCTCGCTGGAATCATTGTCTTCAGTGAGGGCTTCCGCACTCTCACTGGCATCATCTTCTTCGATATCGATGTTATCGATATCGGCATCAAACGCAATGACTTCTTCGTCAGAGCGTGATGAGCGTGAACCAAATCGGTTTTTGCTCGCGCGAGTCCCTCCCCCCTTAAACCAAAGTTACACTCTAGTAAGGTGGGTACACGCGGATGGCGTAAGCCATTCACGTAAAACGGTGTATGGGTCATGGACGCATGCACCGAGTTGTTGATGGCAAACTCTACCATTGGCAAAAACTCACTCCAACTCTTAAAGGAGTGTACGTATCCTCGAAGTATCTCTTCGATGACACGATTGGCACGTTCCGTCTGACCATCTGACTCTGGATGATCAGATGTTGACATCTTCAAGCGCGTTCCGAGAGATTTGAACACGGAACGCCAGAAATCAGCAGTGAATCGTGGATCTCTGTCTGATACGAGTTCACGGGACAACCCATGAAGTCGGAAGATGGTGTCGATAAAGACACAAGCACAGCCACTTGCCGTGATTGTCTCTGGTACAGCCACGAGGTGTACCATTTTGCTGAATCTGTCAACAAATACGAGAATACCCGTATTCCCGCGTGCGTCTTTGGGTAACCCGAAGACGAAATCCATTGAGATGGATTCCCAGCACTCAGCCGGAACCGGTAGAGGCTGTAAAGGTGCACGCAGTGAAGGACTTGACTTCACTCGTTGGCAGACTTCGCATGCGCGAACATACTTTCGCACAAACTGATACTGGCGGGGCCAGTAAAAGTCTCGACTTACCGTGAGATATGTTTTCTCTCGGCCACGATGTCCTCCTATAGGAGCATCGGGATACATGAACATGATCCGCAAACGCAGATCAGTATCATCTGGGATGACAACACGTGGTGTGTCACCAGTAGCGGCTGTATAATACTGTAAACCGTCACGAGTAGTGTATCGATCTGCATCAGATCGATACGCAGACGACAATCGTTTCAACGATTCTCGGGATGGCTGGGAGAGATGTGACAACAACTTCACAATATCACCATCTTGGGCGTATGCCCGCCTCACATCATCATACAACGTTGTAGATGGGACTGAGGACGTCATAACCGCAACAGTGACCGTCTCACTGTTGGGTTTCGCGACTGGTTCAAAGTCGGGACGACGTGAGAGTGCATCAGCGACGACATTAAGTCGTCCTGGTTTGTACTCGACCGTAAAGTTGTATTCTGCAAAGAATGACAACCACCGTGCCATTCGTTGTGAAAGGTGCGGGATGTTCACTGCCGTGCGTAATGACGCATGGTCAGTGTAAACAACGAAGGGTCTATCTCCTAATAGATAGACTCTGAACTTCGCGAGTGCATACTTCATGGCAAGGAGTTCCTTGTCATGCACTGGATAGTTCCGCTCAGCTGGTTGCAGCTGACGCGACTGATAGCAGACGACGCGTTCAACGCCTTCAAGGTCGTACTGCATTAATGCACAGCCGATTGCGAAATCGCTGGCATCACAGACCACATGAAATGGCCTGTCCTGATCGGCTATTGCTAGGACTGGGGATTGTATCAAGCTCTGCTTGATACCATCAAAGGAGCGCTGACATTCAGCGTTCCATAACCACCTCTCGTTGTTTTTCAACAAACGAGAGAGGTATACAGTCATCTCGGCGTAATTTCGTGAATACTTATGCAAATACGCCGCTAGCCCAAGGAATTTTCGAAGACCTTTGACATCGACCGGCACAGGCCAGTCCGTGATCGCCTTGATCTTTTCGGGATCAGGACGTACACCGTTCTTACCAACGATGCACCCAAGAAGTGGTATTTCGCTCGCTGCGAATATACACTTCTTGAGGTTTGCATACAATTGATGCTTTCGCATGATTGTAAGAACCTGTCGGACGTGGTACCTGTGAAACCTCAACGTCCGACTTTCCATCCATAGCCCGACTATGTCTGAATACGTCATCGAAATAACTCGGCGCGAATTCTCGTACTGGCCTCAACAGATGTGATACACACCTGTTGAACGTGGCAGGGGCATTACTGAGCCCTTGTGGCATTACTAGCCATTCCCAGAGCATGCCGCTAGGCGTGCTAACTGCGGTATAGGGTATATCCCTGTTCCCGCATTAGGATTTGATAGAAGCCATCCATCAAATCCATGGACGAAAAGATGGTACTCTTTGACATACCATCAATGATTACGTCCTTCCTCGGTATCGGCGTCTGAGCCGGTACCGTTGCAGCGTTCAATTTGTTGAACGCGTGCACTATCCACCACCCTCCTGTTGCTTTTCGCACACAGAAGGTCGGAGAGCTGTGTGGGGAAGTTGATTCCCTCACATGGCCCGCTGCTAAACGATCGGCAAAAGACTTGTCGATCGCAAGTACTTGTTCACGAGGCAGTGGCCACTGCTTCATGACACAGTACTTCGAGCCTGGTTTAAGCTCGACCTCGTGTCGAATACCTTTATCCTTTAGTAATTCCACGAATTTTCATATTTTACCTTCGGTAATTCGCACGGAACAGTTTCAGGGAATACAGCCTTGATTTCAACCAAATCTTCATAGAGAGGATTTCTCTTGAGCGATTCCCATGATTGGGAGTCATATCGCTCAACTCGTGTCTTTTCATCGAGGACACTCTCGTCCATAGATGAACTACTGAGAACTCTCTCGTTCTCAGTAAACACTGTTGCTGACCTTATGTCGGTTACACACTCGTCGTCAGCGACGAGTATGCAGATCTGCTTGACTTTGCCACTACGCAGATCACGCAAGAACCTTTTATGTTCGAGCGTTGGCAACTGAGTGATCTCCGAAGTTAACTTCGGAGGCGCAATCAGATCAAGTGTATAAGCGCCTAAACTTGATCCGTCATTGACTATGACATTCAATGTCTCTGTCATTTCCTGGTGGCTTATTCCCTCAGGCCTCGAAGGACTTATTCCTTCGTCTTCCCGGGGACTTATTCCCGCGGGTTTCGGGGAACTTATTTCCGCCGTATCTGTAATCTTGGGACTTATTCCCTTTACTTCCTCTAGCTGGGGTTGCGCAACCACAGCAAGATCCTCTACGAAAGACTCTCCAGTCGATCTAGGATTATCGTTTCGCTTAACCTGAGCGATCGATTGTTTATCTTCTAGATGTTCCCCTCTAGGGATACATCTTTGTCCCAGTCCACCCGAATTATTCGAGTGGTGGACCTTCGGCGCAGCCTGTGTTTCCTCACAGCCGCCGGAACTTTGCCCCGAAGTGTAACCGTTTGGTACACTAAGGTTTTGTGCAGCCGTACTAACGACCGTACTACAAGGGAGGCCATCGCACTCACTCGTAGTACATCCACACGCTTTTGGACGCTCCAAAACGTTCATCAGATGGCCATCTGATGAACAAGCGGCAGGCATCGTTACTGTTCGATGTTGCCAGTTTACCCGTGGTTCGTACCTTCTGAGCCACGGTATTCCAAGGATGACATCAAATTTGTCATCCAAATCCAATACGATAAAGTCATCGTCATATTGGGTATCTTCTAGCGTATAGTGGATCTTCACTATACGCTTCATGACAGTTACGGATGCGCCTGTTGCAAGACGTACCGTCATCCTCGTAGGAGGTGTGTCACATTCAAGAAACTTGAAGTGACCATCTTCTAGCGATTGGCGTCGCACAAAATTGTTGGACGCCCCACAATCGACTAGAGCTAGAAGGGACAACTTATTCGTCACTTCGAGTTTCAAGGTAATGAGTGGGATCTCATTACCTGGAGCAGCAACGCACAACATCTGTGTGTTGGGAGCAACCTTCATCAAGAGGCCTACAAATTCTCTTGACGTTGCTGGACCAGTAGGGTGCTCCGCACCTACTGATCCTGTCCGTTTTTTACGGTCCATCCCGTTGTTGCGTCTTTGCAACTGCGGACCCTCGTCCCTGCCCCTTTCTCATGGGTGGACGGTCACTACGCCCAGTGTCGCGAGACACTGGACGGGGGGCACTACACTCGTAAGCGCAGTGTCCTGTCTTTTGACATCTGTTGCATCTCTGCAACTTCTTGTAGTCTGTAGAGCGAGCCTTCTCGCTCTCTACATAACAAAGTTCCATCGGCTCTGGACCTCCGCTGTCATATCGTCTCGGTTGACGATATGATGTCGAGCTGGCGCGAGCCTGTCTCAGACTGAAGTCTTCCTGCTCCGCAATGGAAATGGCTTGTTCTAGTGAATCTAGTTCAAGCCGGAACAGGTGAGTCTTGACGGGACCATCCGCAAGACCCTGCATGAACACCGAAACCAACGTGTGTTCATCAACCGGGTTGGAACTTATACAACGCGTGAGATGTCGTATATGTTGCGCGTAAGCGTGCACATCACGCTTACCCTGCTTGAGCTTCAAGAGTTCGGTTCGAGCCCTGAACTCAGCTCTAGGCGGTTCAAACGTTTGTCTGAGCCGCGACTTGAAGACTTCCAACGACCCAAACGCATATGGGTCGTGTAGCTTGAGCCCCAGTGCCCAAGTCTTGGCACGTCCTGCCAGATTTGACTGGGCAAATGCAACTTGCATATCCCCGTCATCGATGCGACGCGCCCTTATGGCGTCATCCAATTCGACGAACCATCTCAAGAGGGAGTCTTCTTCGACCCCCCCTATACTTTGAGATGTCAATCTTCAAAGTCTCGGATCGACGCGAGTGCATCGACCCGCCAGCAGCAGCCTGCTGCTGTCTCAACAGTTCAAACTGTTGAGCACCTTGTTCTCTCAACGACTCTGATTGTTGAGAACCTTGTTGGTGAAGCAAGGCTACTTTCTCGCGTTCAGCGTCAAGTTCATTTTGAATGAACTTGGCGATAGTAGCATGTTGCGCATCTCTATTGAGAGCCCCTAGCATGACGCTAACAGCATGGATGCCCATGGTTGAACCCATTCGTTCAACCGCATCCCATTCGACATCGCTCAAATGGGAGTAGCCGTCACGCGTAGCGTGAAAGCTTTGGTCATCTTCATCATCCAACATATTCATGTTGGATGTGAACGCGGTCCTTGGACGGACTAAAAAGTGCTACCAGGTGAAACGGGGCACCCTGAAGCTTGTACTGGTGACAGTACCAGCTACTTATTCTGATAACAGAATAAGGCGGTGCCTCGTAACTTCACGTACACTCGTACGTGCAGAGGAAGACGGTAAGAAGAAGCGAGTACTTGGTTAAAGTAAAAAGTAGAACTGTATTTATAATAGTTAATGTCTGCAATAAATCACTATTTATCTTCATCTAACTATGTCTAAATACAAATGTGTAAATCAGTTATCTGCTCACCACTCATTGCGTGCGTCTGTCGTGGCGCGTCTTCGTTGGTTGATATAATGGCCTATATCAACCAATTAGGAGCTACTTGTAAGTGCTACAGAATATTTGTCCTTATGACAATATTCTGAGAACATAACTCTTATAGTTATATTCTATTAACAATTTCTTATAAATTGTTATGTAACGATTCACCCCGTTACATGTCAGATCACTGGCCGATCGACTATTCGTGCCTCGTAATAAAGCTATGTGGGAAACTGCTTTGTCAACTTTCACTTCGCAGTTATCAGCTCTCTTCTTTTAGAGAGGTCGAAGCCTGCATTGGATCGAATAGCATACACCAGCTTCTTTGCGCATCGACTTCTTATTGGAGTAAGCTGGTAGCTTGAGTAGATTCACGCACGTTGCGCTCGATGGCAGTCGCTCGTCGTATTCTACGCGCACTTGGTGGATACCGATCTGGGGCACCAATTTTGAAAAGCCAAGCAGAGGTTGACGGGAACAACTCGGGTTAAATTTGAGTGGTGCTGCACGGTCTTCATGCGTGAAATTCTCCTTCACGATTTCCCAAAACCATTGGATAACTTTTTGGGACGGGTGATAGCCACCTCCGTATTGAGTATGCCGCTCCCAGTCATCAACGTCGATGTTCGTGGCAGTGCCGCCAATGAGCATCTGCACCTCGGCTGGAGCAAACATTTGAATCCGTGACTCCGGAATCAAGTCACGAAAACCCATTAGGAACGCAGCACATTCAATGGATGTCAACACATTCAGCTTGTAGTTCGCCATCAAGTGGATGTATCGAATCCGATTTTTCGTTCGTAACAGGGACGTTCGAGCCGTCCGGCAAAAGATTTCGTGTCACTACTTTATCTAACTGCACCTCGCTCACGCTGAATGTCAGCGCTAGATCCTCCGCATTGCCGTCGTAGTGCTTCAGGTGCATAAGTGATGTGTATAGCTCGGGGTCCAATAAAATCAAGTCGTCAGGTAGCTAAACTTGCCCAAGAGTTTGTTGAAAAAACATGCAGCAAACTGTGGCTCTACGAGAATGTTTTCAAATACAGCATTCGCCAAGAGTCGCCCCAGAAATCGGTAGCGTTCTAACGCTTCTTTGTGCGTTGTTCACAATGAACTTCGCTCTTGAGTTAGGATAAAGGAGATGATCATCCGTTTCTATAAAAAATCCGAACTCTGGTGAGAAAGCATTCTTCGTCAAATTGTCCATGAATTCCTTGAACACACCACCACCATCAATACCTGCCTCCTCGAGCCCTTGCTCGTTGATAAATGTGACCTTGATGCGCGACTTGAGGGCTGCAGGAGACATGACGTCGCACACTTTTCGAAAGAAATCATAACCGTCGCGCAAAATCTCGTGGCGTTGAATCCGAACCTGCAAAGCCCGTGAAAATTCGTCGCGCGTGTTGCCTGCTTGCGCCTTCGCATCGTCCAGCAGCTTTTGAAAAAGCTGGACACGTTCATTGAACGACAAAACTTGCGGAATCGTGACAAGGATCAGCGCTGCACGTGCGTACGGAGAAGGCGTTTTCCCATTCATCAGCATGTAGGTCGCGTCCGCACCGTGAGGACCATCCTCATTCATCAGTTCAAGGTCCACAACTTCCCTGATCGTAGGCATTAAAGGCCACAACCAAGCGCCATCAGGCATGAAACGACGCCGACAATCCCGATCATAGAGCTGGCTGAACAGCTTAACGGATGTCACAACCACAGCGAATCTCACGAGGTCTCTTTTGTCCATGGTGCCAGTCGGTAGTGCATTGTTGCCATCAACTACCCAACACGCATCGTAAACAAATTGTTTTAAAAAAGGAACCAAGGCTTTGACTTCACAAAAACGAAGTGGCCATTGCCCATCGTAAAATGCTTCATCGTCAAGTCCCAAAAGCATGTGAGAATAGATGACGTTGGAAATAAGGAGCACCTGCAATAGCACCGTCGTTATATCAAGCGGGCATTCTCCGAAAAGCGGCGCCAGGTGCTGGGAAGTGCTGCTCTTGATCGCTGAACTCATTATCTGCCACATGCTATCGACTAGATTTGTATTGCTTGGGGCAGAACGGTGGACCTCCACGGACTCTGCTCGACCGTCATCGCACTCAGCAACGCAAGCAAAGCCGGAGGAGGATTCGTAAAGTTAGCCGCTACAGTAAGGACGTGAGACCGCCCTGTTGACAAAATCAAAGTAGCAAGAACGTCGCAAAACCGGTAAACAAGACTCTTGCCGGACAACACAAGGTCCGGTGTCCCGTTGTTCACACGCAGCAGCACATCGATACACAGCGGAGCAAAATTTGAATGGCAAAGCTTTTGCCACTGCGCACGGACACTAGACATCAGCGACGCCGAGTCCTTCCACGCTGCGCTGCACTTCTTCTTCCAATGCAAAGTCTTGAACGGACAACAAAACACTTGGCACGTTCCATCATCATCCATGTCATAATCTTCGTTGTTCATAACCGAATCTTGCTTAGGATGCTTTACGTCAAACGCCCATTGCACGAGTGATAAAGTCATTAACTCAGACAGTACAAGCGGAATAACTTTCACAAAAGCACCATCAAACGGGCAATGAAACGCGATCTCTGACACGTTACCAACACAAATGGCTCGCTCTGACCACAAAAGTGCTGCCACCGTCGAGGCAATACAATAATGACGTACTACACGTGCCCAAAAATGTCCCACCATATAAAATGTTGCATCACGAGAATGGTCTTGATTGACAATGCTGTCGTTGTAATCTAACTCGTAAGTGGACACGTCACTGCTGACGGTGTCAATAACAACTTCTTTGCAAATTGCGATAGCAGACCAGCATCTCGTCCTCGTGCTTCCTCTTCTCTCGCCGCCCCTTGCAGCGTTTGGGCAGCAATACGTACAATGACTTGCACCAACTTGTCGACCTCCACACGTGATTGTTTTTCTTCTGCTTGGACCGTGATACACGCAGTCACTGCATCGAAAACACTGTACCGCCTTGAGATTCCAAGGTGATAACACCCGTCTGACAGAACTTTTTGATCTTCAAGTGTCTTGTACGTTGACGCATTTGTCAGCGTGTCTAGCAGTATCAGATAGGGGTTCACTGCCACATGAGCAATTGTATATGTCGTCTTGAGTTCGTCGTGCACGAGTGTATACAAGGCGATTTCGCTCATTTGCGACACTTGGTAGACCCATGTAGTATCTTTTTTCACAGCCAACCAATTCGTAGCCATGTCGAACGATCACTTGAGACAGCTGACAAGCAATAGAAACACCACGTAATCCTGGAGTTTCCGTCCCGTTTGGTCCGTTTCTAATTGCCAAGGCTTTGTTAATTTTAGTTCCGTAGCCATAGTCATCCTTTTTTTTACTTCAGCGCGCAAACCAATACCGTCTTAGAATCAGCTGGAGCTGCTGGATAGACAGCGCTTGATGCTGTATATCAATTGTCAGCATTACCTGTTGAAGTTGATACTCCAAATTGTGCATTACAGCAGCGCGAGCGATTTGGGAAGCCTGGGCACGACGGAATTGGGCCTGGATCTTGGTAAGTGCAGCTGTGCGTATCTTTATTGCCTGTCGTTGTAACTGTTGGAGTTGACGACGAACACGTCAGTAAAATTTACGTTTTGGAACGTTTTGTAGGACAATATGCTTGTGGAGTAGGAAGACGATTTGATTCTGTGTATTATTTGCTCTGTCTCCTATCTGTCTGTCTCCTAGTCACCCTTTCTCCTAAAGGTCTCTGCTCCAACCGTCCCAAAGACAAATGGTTGCTGACCAACTTGTCTACTACCATCTAATACTGACTATATCTGACCAGATTGACGGCTGGCGCTAACCATATGTTACAATCTTAAACTTCAACTTTCCTACGCGTGGCGGCTACTCCCATTTGAGCGATGTCGAATGGGATGCGGTTGAACGAATGGGTTCAACCATGGGCATCCATGCTGTTAGCGTCATGCTAGGGGCTCTCAATAGAGATGCGCAACATGCTACTATCGCCAAGTTCATTCAAAATGAACTTGACGCTGAACGCGAGAAAGTAGCCTTGCTTCACCAACAAGGTTCTCAACAATCAGAGTCGTTGAGAGAACAGGGTGATCAACAGTTTGAACTGTTGAGACAGCAGCAGGCTGCTGCTGGCGGGTCGATGCACTCGCGTCGACCCGAGACTTTGAAGATTGACATCTCAAAGTATAGGGGGGTCGAAGAGGACTCCCTCTTGAGATGGTTCGTCGAATTGGATGACGCCATAAGGGCGCGTAGCATCGAAGACGGGGATATGCAAGTTGCATTTGCCCAGTCAAATCTGACAGGACGTGCCAAGACTTGGGCACTGGGGCTAAAGTTGCACGACCCATATGCGCTTGGGTCGTTGGAAGTCTTCAAGTCGCGGCTCAGACAAACGTTTGAAACACCTAGAGCTGAGTTCAGGGCTCGAACCGAACTCTTGAAGCTCAAGCAGGGTAAGCGTGATGTGCACGCTTACGCGCAACATATACGACATCTCACGCGTTGTATAAGTTCCAACCCGGTTGATGAACACACGTTGGTTTCGGTGTTCATGCAGGGTCTTGCGGATGGTCCCTTCCAGACTCACCTGTTCCGACTTGAACTAGATTCACTAGAACAAGCCATTTACGTTGCGGAACAGGGAGACTTCAGTCTGAGACAGGCTCGCGCCAGCTCGACATCATATCGTCAACCGAGACGAAATGACAGCGGAGTTCCAGAGCCGATGGAACTTTGTTATGTAGAGAGCGAGAAGGCTCGCTCTACAGACTACAAGAAGTTGCAGAGATGCAACAGATGTCAAAGACAGGACACTACGCTTACGAGTGTAGTGCCCCCCGTCCAGTGTCTCGCGACACTGGGCGTAGTGACCGTCCACCCATGAGAAAGGGGCAGGGACGAGGGTCCGCTGTTGGTGCAAAGACGCAACAACGGGATGGACCGTCAAAAAACGGACAGGATCAGTAGGTGCGGAGCACCCTACTGGTCTAGCAACGTCAAGAGAATTTGTGGGCCTCTTGATGAAGGTTGCTCCCAATACACAGACGTTGTGCGCTGCTGCTCTAGGTAATGAGATCTCACTCATTACCTTGAAACTCGAAGAGACAAATGAGTTGTCCCTTCTAGCTCTAGTCGATTGTGGGGCGTCCAACAATTTTGTGCGACGCCAATCGCTAGAAGATGGTCACTTCAAGTTTCTTGAATGTGACACACCTCCTACGAGGATGACGGTACGTCTTGCGACAGGCGCATCCGTAACTGTCATGAAGCGTATGGTGAAGATCCACTATACGCTAGAAGATACCCAATATGACGATGACTTTATCGTATTGGATTTGGATGACAAATTTGATGTCATCCTTGGAATACCGTGGCTCAGAAGGTACGAACCACGGGTAAACTGGCAACATCGAACAGTAACGATGCCTGCCGCTTGTTCATCAGATGGCCATCTGATGAACGTTTTGGAGCGTCCAAAAGCGTGTGGATGTACTACGAGTGAGTGCGATGGCCTCCCTTGTAGTACGGTCATTAGTACGGCTGCACAAAACCTTAGTGTACCAAACGGTTACACTTCGGAGCAAAGTTCCGGCGGCTGTGAGGAAACACAAGCTGCGCCGAAGGTCCACCACTCGAATAAGTCGGGTGGACTGGGACAAAGATGTATCCCTAGCGGGGAACATCTAGAAGAGAAACAATCGATCGCTCAGGTTAAGCGAAACGATAATCCTAGATCGACTGGAGAGTCTTTCGTAGAGGATCTCGCTGTGGTTGCGCAACCCCAGCTAGAGGAAGTAAAGGGAATAAGTCCCAAGATTACAGATACGGCGGAAATAAGTTCCCCGAAACCCGCGGGAATAAGTCCCCGGGAAGACGAAGGAATAAGTCCTTCGAGGCCTGAGGGAATAAGCCACCAGGAAATGACAGAGACATTGAATGTCATAGTCAATGACGGATCAAGTTTAGGCGCTTTTACACTTGATCTGATTGCGCCTCCGAAGTTAACTTCGGAGATCACTCAGTTGCCAACGCTCGAACATAAAAGGTTCTTGCGTGATCTGCGTAGTGGCAAAGTCAAGCAGATCTGCATACTCGTCGCTGACGACAAGTGCGTAGCCGACATAAGGTCAGCAACAGTGTTCACTGAGAACGAGAGAGTTCTCAGTAGTTCATCTATGGACGAGAGTGTCCTCGATGAAAAGACACGAGTTGAGCGATATGACTCCCAATAGTGGGAATCGCTCAAGAGAAATCCTCTCTATGAAGATTTGGTTGAAATCAAGGCTGTATTCCCTGAAACTGTTCCGTGCGAATTACCGAAGGTTAAAGATATTCGACACGAGACTATTCCGTGCGAATTACTAAAGGATAAAGGTATTCGACACGAGGTCGAGCTTAAACCAGGCTCGAAGTACTGTGTCATGAAGCAGTGGCCACTGCCTCGTGAACAAGTACTTGCGATCGACAAGTCTTTTGCCGATCGTTTAGCAGCGGGCCATGTGAGGGAATCAACTTCCCCACACAGCTCTCCGACCTTCTGTGTGCGAAAAGCAACAGGAGGGTGGTGGATAGTGCACGCGTTCAACAAATTGAACGCTGCAACGGTACCGGCTCAGACGCCGATACCGAGGAAGGACGTAATCATTGATGGTATGTCAAAGAGTACCATCTTTTCGTCCATGGATTTGATGGATGGCTTCTATCAAATCCTAATGCGGGAACGGGATATACCCTATACCGCAGTTAGCACGCCTAGCGGCATGCTCTGGGAATGGCTAGTAATGCCACAAGGGCTCAGTAATGCCCCTGCCACGTTCAACAGGTGTGTATCACATCTGTTGAGGCCAGTACGAGAATTCGCGCCGAGTTATTTCGATGACGTATTCAGACATAGTCGGGCTATGGATGGAAAGTCGGACGTTGAGGTTCACAGGTACCACGTCCGACAGGTTCTTACAATCATGCGAAAGCATCAATTGTATGCAAACCTCAAGAAGTGTATATTCGCAGCGAGCGAAATACCACTTCTTGGGTGCATCGTTGGTAAGAACGGTGTACGTCCTGATCCCGAAAAGATCAAGGCGATCACGGACTGGCCTGTGCCGGTCGATGTCAAAGGTCTTCGAAAATTCCTTGGGCTAGCGGCGTATTTGCATAAGTATTCACGAAATTACGCCGAGATGACTGTATACCTCTCTCGTTTGTTGAAAAACAACGAGAGGTGGTTATGGAACGCTGAATGTCAGCGCTCCTTTGATGGTATCAAGCAGAGCTTGATACAATCCCCAGTCCTAGCAATAGCCGATCAGGACAGGCCATTTCATGTGGTCTGTGATGCCAGCGATTTCGCAATCGGCTGTGCATTAATGCAGTACGATCTTGAAGGCGTTGAACGCGTCGTCTGCTATCAGTCGCGTCAGCTGCAACCAGCTGAGCGGAACTATCCATTGCATGACAAGGAACTCCTTGCCATGAAGTATGCACTCGCGAAGTTCAGAGTCTATCTATTAGGAGATAGACTCTTCATTGTTTACACTGACCATGCGTCATTACGCACGGCAGTGAACAGCCCGCACCTTTCACAACGAATGGCGCGGTGGTTGTCATTCTTTGCAGAATACAACTTTACGGTCGAGTACAAACCAGGACGACTTAATGTCGTCGCTGATGCACTCTCACGTCGTCCCGACTTTGAACCAGTCGCGAAACTCAACAGTGAGACAGTCACTGTTGCGGTTATGACGTCCTCAGTCCCATCTACAACGTTGTATGATGATGTGAGGCGGGCATACGCCCAAGATGGTGAGATAGTGAAGTTGTTGTCACATCTCTCCCAACCATCCCGAGAATCGTTAAAACGATTGTCGTCTGCGTATCAATCTGATGCAGATCGATACACTACTCGTGACGGTTTACTGGATTATACAGCCGTTTCTGGTGACACACCACGTGTTGTCATCCCAGATGATACTGATCTGCGTTTGCGGATCATGTTCATGTATCCCGATGCTCCTATAGGAGGACATCGTGGCCGAGAGAAAACATATCTCACGGTGAGTCGAGACTTTTACTGGCCCCGCCAGTATCAGTTTGTGCGAAAGTATGTTCGCGCATGCGAAGTCTGCCAACGAGTGAAGTCAAGTCCTTCACTGCGTGCACCTTTACAGCCTCTACCGGTTCCGGCTGAGTGCTGGGAATCCATCTCAATGGATTTCGTCTTCGGGTTACCCAATGACGCACGCGGGAATACGGGTATTCTCGTATTTGTTGACAGATTCAGCAAAATGGTACACCTTGTGGATGCACCAGAGACAATCACGGCAAGTGACTGTGCTTGTGTCTTTATCGACACCATCTTTCGACTTCATGGGTTTCCCCGTGAGCTCGTATCAGACAGAGATCCACGATTCACTGCTGATTTATGGCGTTCCGTGTTCAAATCACTCGGAACGCGCTTGAAGATGTCAACATCTGATCATCCAGAGTCAGATGGTCAGACGGAACGTGCCAATCGTGTCATCGAAGAGATACGTTGAGAATACGTACACTCCTTTACGAGTTGGAGTGAGTTTTTGCCAATGTTAAAGTTTGCCATCAACAACTCGGTGCATGCGTCCATGACCCATACACCGTTTTACGTGAATGGCTTACGCCATCCGCGTGTACCCACCTTACTAGAGTGTAACTTTGGTTTAAGGGGGGAGGGACTTGCGCGAGCAAAAACCGATTTGGTTCACGCTCATCACGCTCTGACGAAGAAGTCATTGCGTTTGATGCCGATATCGAAGAAGATGATGCCAGTGAGAGTGCGGAAGCCCTCACTGAAGAAAATGTTGATGTTGCTGCAGTGCACTCACAGCGCACTGAAGCTAACGAGTCATCAGATGAGTTCATACTGGCTCGTGAAACGGTAGTCCGTTTTGTGCAAGACTCTATCGCCGAAGCGGTGGACAAGCAAAAGCAAAACGCTGACAAGAATGGAAGGGCAAACACTCTTTTATTTAACAAAGGTGACTTAGTCCTACTGTCTACGGTTAATCTACCAAAGCATGTAGTGACTAACTTGGGTAGCAGTAAACTACTACCCAAGTACATTGGCCCATTTCGTGTATTGCACCGTCTAGACAATGCATACACGATCGAGTTGCCACGTAAGATGCGAACGCATCCCACGTTTTACGTTGTTCGGCTAAAGCCGTACCATCAGTACGCTGCTTCTTCCGATGAAGAACGCCCTTGCGCTCAAGCATCTCGCAGAGAGCCTTGTGCTCCCGATGGTGGGCATCGACAAGGGTCTAAAGAGCAGTTATCTCATCCCGAGACCGATCAGCAATCCCACGAGCTACCCTTAGCTCGTCACGAAGAGACGTCAGAGCTCTCTCGTTCTCAAGCTGAGCAAAGGCAAACTCAGCTCGGTGCTTTAAGACAGTGTCCGCCATTTGGAGACGCCTGTCCCGCTCATGTTCGAGATCGTTGCGTGACCCTTGCGTTACGCGATCAAAGAAGCTCTCGGGAACACACCGATCCACATGATCGTGTGGAGAGCGTCTTTCCTCCTCCTCCACCTACATTAGAGGACTCTCGCGGTGGCCAGCGCTATCTAGTTGAGCATCTGTCGAACCACCGCGACGCAGACGGACGTCGGACGAGTTATTTAGTCCGGTGGCGCGGCTATCCCCCGTCCTGGGATTCTTGGGAGCCCCGCTCCCAACTGATGGTTGACGTACTGGTTCCGGTTGAGCAGTTCGACGCGGCACATCCTGTGCCGCAGAAGGACCGCCGGAGAAAGTCTTCCCGGCACGGTCGTAAAGGGATTTCAGGTTGTCAATCCCTTCGTACATCTCAGTAGAGACACGTACGCGCCACCACGGGCTGGTAAGGAGGTAAGCCTCCTTAGGTGCGCGCGCAGAGTTGTTCACACAACATGGGCACGAGTCTCCCCAAGAGAGGCAGGGTAATCCCTTCTCCCTTGACAGACGATGCAGCTTGTAGCGTGCACCTGTCGGGGTTCGCTTTTCAAACTTATCACGAGCTTTGATAAGTTTGTCGTTCCAAGCGTCACGACCTACATCCTCGAGGTTATGGATGTAGGCGTTCCACGCCTGAAGTAGTGAGGGACCATCACGTTTGTGATTCCCACTGTTTCCATCGATGTTTGAAGAAAGCATCGATGAAGAATTCGTGTTCAGCGCGATAGTTTTTCGCGCTGGGGTCAAGGTGATGGATCCTTGACGAATCGAACAACCGTGTTCGATAACGATCACTCGTCGTCGCCGACAAGTGATCCATGACGGATTTTAAAGGCATCCATGCCTTCTTCTCGGGAGAGAGACGCAAGACATTGCGGTCCCGCTCTTCCTGCAACGTGCCGACAGAAGCACTGGCACCTCGCTGTGAAGTGGTGTCCATAGGAGAACCGACACCACTATTAGCGCCCGAGTCTCGCGACCTCGAGCGCCTTCGCTTCGGCGATCGTTCATCTGATTCATCAGATGAAGAAAGATGCTGCGACGCAAAGCATCGTCCATGCCACGCTTGGCATGCGGCTCGGATTCGATCGCCGTCGATACGGATCCGTCATCCGTATCAGGAGAGTACGAGACACCGAGCTCGTACTCTGTGAAGACACGAGTGTCTTCATGACGAGCGCCTGCATCACCAAGTGACACAGGCTGAGTCGCTTCAGCAACCGATGAGACATCAGTTGCTGTGGTTTCTGCTTCGGCGTCCGCACAGAGACGTGCAGACGCGCTCTCGGCGGCCTTGTTCGCGCATCTTGCAATATTCTATCCTGGGTTTGCGCAGCTTATCAGTCAATTAAAATTTGTCTACGAATGGTCGCGGCTTGGGTCTACTTCACCCAAAGATCGCCACCAATTGCTTTATTTCGCTTTACCACACACGTTCCAGGTCTTTTTATATGAAGCGGCAGACCTCAGCTGATAGCCGCGGGTCCCCGATTGGACGCGAGCTTACGAGGTAAGCCATGAATGATGAAGACCTTTTCACTAAAGACACATGCACTTTTTCATGCTTTGATCGATTCGGTAAATCATCCATATGGACCATCTTGATCAAAATTTGTTATTAAACACAAAAATTACTATTCTTGTGAGAGTTTGCGGAAAATACGAGGACATAGTCCGTTAATATATATTTTAAGAAATGGGATGAGAGGATCAGAGGCTGCAACAGGGATTAAAAAGCAGTACTAGACTTTATCTGCTGGCAGACCTCACAGGTCCGGACGTTCTTCTGCACAATCTGTACTGGCGGGGCTAAATAAATTCGCTGGTAGAAGTAAAGTATTATTCAAACCGACTACGATGTCCACCAACAGGTGCGCCTTGTTACCCATCCATGATTCGCAATCGCAAATCACCAATTTCTAATGCTACAACACTATGCAAGTCACCAGCAACATTGATTTGCTGAGATAAATCGTCGCTAACTGATGCACATAACAAGAGGATGGATGAACTCACGATGAATTTTTAAGGCTCTTCCCGGATAGGTGCCAGAAATGATGTACCAATTGCACTAATCACAGATCAAACGCCTTTCGTGTGTCTCTTGATAAGGTTGACGAAGGAAAACTTAAAGTCAGCACCGCGACAGTAGTCAGATCAGTTTCTGGTGGCATGATTGTTTCGAAATTGGGCCGGCGCGAAGAAGCGTCAGTGACAACATTTGATTGTCCTGGCTAATAATCTATGGAGAAATTATACTTCGAAAAGTATGACAGTTCTCTTGCCACCTGCTGCAATAGCTGTGGACTTTTTTTGGCTGTGCAAAAATTGCGGGGTTATTATTAACGATGGAAGGTCTATCGAATAGCAAATAGACAATTTGTGAGATAGTGCGTACTTCATGGAACGTAACTGCTTGGAATAACCGGGGTAGTGACCAGCTGGCTGCAGATGGCGCGATTAGTAACAGAGGAAACGTTTTACTTCGTCTGCATGTCACTGCATCAATGCACAGCCGATTGCAAAGTCGCTGGCATTACAGACCTCGACATTTGACCCGTCTTTGTCTGCAGCTGCCAAAACTAGCAGTTACGAGATGCTTTGCTTGAAACCTTCATAGAGCACTAGCTAACAACATTCCGCTTTCGCTACTCATGATTTTAAAAATCAAACGAGAAAGATGAATGCAAACCTCGGCGTAATTGCGTGTATTATCGTGCAAATACAACGTTTAGCCAAAAAATCTTCGAAGTCCTTTGACATGGGTAGGCGCCGTTAGTAAAGTAAGCAAGAGTCCCCTTTTTGGATTAAGCCGGACGTAATGGTCATCCACGAGAGAAACAAGAAGCGGTAATTTGATAGCATCAAATACACACTTCTTGAAGTTGTCGTACCGTTTATTTGCTCACAAATTAGCGTAAGAACTTTCCGACGTGAAGTCGGTGCACGTCCACATCCTTCTGTCCGTTTATTTCCCGGCTATTGGCGAAAATTATCTCGAAGTAGTTGGGCACGAGTTTTCTTACTGATCTAAATAGTATCGTTACACATCAAAAATAATTTTAAACACTGGAATTATACAGTTCTTGTGGTAGTACTACCATACCCAAGGCATAACGCTTACGTTGCTAACTGCAGTATAGCGAATGGATCTTTCGCGCATTAAAATCTCATAGAGCCCATCCATCAAATCCTATGAAGAAAAGATGGTACAGTTTTCGTTACCATCTTTGCAGACATCTGTTATTGGCACTGATTTTAAAGCCGGTTTTGTGGCAGCATTCAATTCGTTGAAGGCATATACTTTCCGCCACCCTCAGGTGGATTTTCGCACACAGAAGTTCGGAGAGCTATGTAGAGAGGTAGACTTTCTCACATGCCCGGCTGCTGAGCGATCTGAAAAGCATTTGTCGATCGCTAGTACTTGTTCACGAGGCAGTGGTCATCCCTTCATGACAAAGTACTTCAAAACCGGCTTCAGGTCAATTTCATAACGAGTACCTTATCCATAAAGTTAACTCACGGGACTTCTTCAGGAACAACATCTTTGCATCAGATAATCTTATCCATGCTTTCCCTTAAAGAAATTCCACAATTAAGATGTGTATCGCTCATTAATAGCCTCCTCACCAACTACACTCTAGTCCATGAATCGGCTACTTAAAAATATTTCGTTCTCGCCAAAGACCATTGCCTGATTGAACACCCTTAACGTACTCACTCTCCGTGAAAATTACGCAAATTGGCTTGATTTTTCTATTACCCGTATCACGCAGGATTTAACTTTGGCTTAGTGGGGGTAACTGAGTGATATCCGAAGTCAACTTTGGAGGCACAATCAGATTGAGTGTATGACTAATACCTCTGATTGATCCGTCATTAACCAGAACGTTCAGTGTCTCTGCTATCTTATGGAAACTTAGGCCCACTGTTCGTTGGGGGCTTATTCCTTCATCCTCGGCCTTTTGAGCTACTTCATCTACGTATTGTCGATCGTTGGCAATCGTTTGGTCATGGTCTGGGTGTTGTCGTTATAGAAAGATGATCATGACCCTAATCATTCAACTTATTCGAAGGGTGGGCATTCGGCGCTACCCGCAGACATGCCGTCGCCGGAAACTTGCTCAGAAATATAATGAGTAGTCGTACTAAGATCTTGTGCAGTCGTACTGATTACCGATCCACACGCGAAGCCATCGTAATCACTTCTAGTACATCCACATGGTAGTGGACGCTCTAAGACGATCATGAGATGGGCGTCTGGCGAACAAGCGGCCTGCATATCTACACTTCGTCGATGCCAGCTGACTTGTTGCTCGTATCTTCTGAGCCACGGTTAACAGCGGATAAAGCCAAACTTGTTTTTAAGTCCAAGACGATGAATTCACATTTGCATTGGACCTCATTCTTTGTATAGAAAACCCATTCTACACCTTTTACCACAGTTTCGGATGAGCCTGTCGCGAGGCGTATTGCAATTTTCGTTGAAGTGATTTTGCTCGACATAATTTAGCTTCCTGTTGTCAAGCGATTGGCTTCGTGCAAAGTTTTCATTTTTCCCAATCGCCTAGGGCTCATAGTGACATAAAATTGTGCCACTTCAAGCTTCAAAGTAATGCGGAAACCTCACTAATATGTGCAGCAACACCCAATGATTACGCGTTGGGAGCAATTATCGTCAAGAAGCATGAAAAATTACCTGGTGTTCCTGGATATTATAGTTCTCCAAACCTACTGACCCTGACCAATTTTTTTTTGCTTTCCGTTTTTATAGTGCTTTTTCGCAGCAGCGTTGAAACACGCTTATGACCGTTCTTAGTCTCTTATAAGTAATTGATTTGTGCAGTACGTGGTACCGCGTTCGGGGCTCTGCATTCGTATGCGTAATGCCCTGGCTTTTGACACCTACTTCATGTCGGTAATTTCCTATCATTGATAGCGCGAAAGTTTTCACTTTCAGCGTAACAGAGGTCCATCCATGCTAGGCCCTAGATTTCCTTTCGTCTAGTTAGACGATAAGAGGTTGATAATCCTTAGGGTTTTAATGCTAGTGTCTGATTGTTTTTTAAATTTGAATTGCCCCTGGTGGAATACAAAATTTAACCGGGAAAGATAGGTCCCGACTGGACCTTCTGTGAGATCGTGTATGAACAACATGATCAACGTTTTGTCATTCAAAAGATTGTACGTGATGCAACTCAACAAATGAAGTATGTATAAAATGTACGAGTGAAGGTCACGTTTGCCTTGCTTAACGTCCAGGATTCTAGAGCAACCACTAAACTTAGCTCGCGGTGGTTTAATCTTTTCAGTAAAGCAAGGACTGCATGATTTTTGATTAATTAAAGACTAATGGGTCGTAAAGCTTGAGGCTCACCGCCCAAGTCTTTGCACGTCATTCCAAATAATATTAAGAAACGCAACCTGCATTTGCTTATCGACGATGTAACGAGCTCTTACTGCGTCATCTAGTTCAAGAAACCTTTCAGCAGCTCAAATGTTAAAAAAATTTCGGTTAAGCAAGGATACATTTCCCGGTTTAGCGTAAAGTTTAGTGTCATTAAACATGAAAATGGTGGCGTGTTGTCCGTCTGGACCCAGAGCAGACAGCGTACGCCTACTGCTTCTTGCCTTCTCGTCAATTCGAACGTTCGACGGCATCCCATTAAATTCTTTAATCGAATGGAAGAAGTTCTCGT